ATTTTTGTGACGATGTTTGATGAAGGTAAAGGGGGGGGGGGGGTTAAAGCAATGTGGTGTCCCTTTGAAAGTGCAACCTTATTGTAAAAATAAAATGCTAATGACACTTAATTACAGGCTTTTTAGCAAAAATTATAATTCATTATTTTAGTTTCAAACTATGATCACTGAGAGAATCAGTACAGGTATGTGAGGTCTGAGATATGGCCTCTAACCAAGTTACAGGATAAAATGGATGAAGAGAATCAGGGTGTAGTCACTTTGACAGTCATGAGAATTTATGTCGAAATGGGAATCATTGAATTGGGGCTATCACGGAAAGTGAGATGGAACGAAAAATGTTGGAGGGGGGGAATTTTTGTCAGTGTTCTTGGGCAGGGATTCTTAAATTTTTTTGCAGTGCTGCATTCCCTGTCAAATTCTAGATATTTCCTCCTCCCCCGTATAAATTATATAATATAGTTATAAAAATAAAAAAAATTAAATAATTTATTTGTTTAATTGACTTTCTAGATACAAGAAAAAATTACCAAACAAAAATTTCATCAGAATTGTTTTTTTACTGCTGCTATTCAAAATGCATAAATAATAATTTTATTTTTAATGGTAGAAGCAAATATCAATGGAAACAAAAAAAAATTATTTTCTGAATCTACTGCACCACAAGGGGTGCATTCACCCCTGTTTAAGAATCACTGTTCTAGGGAAATGTTTCTGAAACAAGTGCAGTAATTGGATATTCACGGGAGATGATTTTTGTAAGGGTTTGTAAAGGACGGTAGTGGACCGATGGATTTTTATAGGATGGGTGGGGTGTAGAGATTTATGTAGTTATATTGGAGGGGTGTACAGCTTTTTGTGACAATGGAGGGGGGAGGAGGGTAAAAATTGGCAAAATTTGCGTGATGTCATTTTTGGATGGCCCCACAGGCAAAATAAATAATAATAAATCACTTAAATCAGATGCCAGCCCCTGTCTCTCAGGTAAAACAAGGCTATGCAGAGGTCAAGGCAACTGAGTAAATCTCTTGTTGTTGAATTGTTTTGGATACAAATATGTTTTTGATACAATTATTTTGACATGTTTTGGGTCAAAAATTCTGATTTGCTCAGGGCCCAAAAAAATCCTCAGCACTGCCCTGCACCAATCATGTTCTTTACACATATATGACAATGTGCTAACAATAAAAATTAAATTAACAACCAGGTGCTATGGAAAAAATTGCAGGTGCTCTGCACTCATCTGTATTTGTCCTTCGCTGCTTATGACAAGGGACTAGTAATAAATTAGGCTAACTGAACATATGTTGAAAAAAAATCAATTTTCAAAGCTTTATTTTGTCTGTATAATGTTACAAATTCACTGAACTGGCTATTTGGCAACAACATGAATAGGAATTTAAGTTTCAGATTATTTAATAGCCAAATAATACATTTACCAGAGCCCAAAACTTATATTTAAACAGATGTGATTGTTGTATTAAAAATAGATTGTTTAAAAAATATAACATTTAATAACTATTTTCCAGCTGCCTCTTCCAATTTTACATTTTTCTAATTAAATCCTATTTGATTTATTTTTTTTTTCTAGCTCACGGGAAAAAGGTGAAAACAGCTTCATATTATGAACCATCTTTTCAAAGTGTCTAAAATTTATAAAAGAACAAGTGAGGACATTTCTAACAGTTTAAAAGTTGAACCTCGGGATAAACGCACACCATGCACCCAGAAACAGGAGATAGCTTTAGATTGGTACAAAAATACATTCCCTAATAACTCAAAAGTAAATGGATTTAGGCCATCAGCTGACAACAACTTTACTCATCAAAATATGTCCTCAGAATGCAGAGAAAGGCTCTTGGATCATTTTCTGGAGAGAATAACCACATTGCCTGCTTCTCAAAGAAATGTACATAACTCAACAGGTTTACAAAGCAAGAACACTGCATTACATTCTGAAGATCATCTACTGTTACCCAGTGATGATGATGTAGGAATAAAAGAAGAAAAGAGGAGTGATGAAGAAATCTTCAGAGCACCTGAAGAAACTCTACCAGGGTCTGATAATTTATCCATTGAAAGACCATCAGGTAGGGATTTGTCTGACAACCAGTTAACATTAGAAAATTCTAACCCTTTGTCTCGTAAAAGGAAGTCAGACAAAGAAAAGCCTGACAAAGATTCAAAGGGGAGGCCATTTGAGTGTGGCATTTGCAGTGAGTCTTTCAGTTATAAAAGTTATTTAATGCGCCATCTGAGAAAACACACTGGAGAGAGGCCATACCAGTGCACCACCTGCAGCAGCGCTTTCAGTCGCAAGGACCATCTCGCTCAGCACCAGATGCTGCATACTGGAGAGAAACCTTTCAAGTGTGATGTTTGCTCCACAGCTTTCACTGAAAAAAGCGCTCTTGTGCGGCACATCAAGATACACACAGGGGAAAGGCCCTTCCGGTGCACCGTTTGTCCTTCAGCTTTCACCTGCAAAAGTTCTTTGGTGCAGCACCAGATGATTCACAATGGAGAGAAACCTTATCACTGTGACATTTGTGACACGTCATACAGCAAAAGGAGCACATTGGTACATCACCAGATGGTGCACACGGGTGAGAAACCTTTCATTTGTAACATATGCAGTGCTGCTTTCAACAGGAAGAGCCTCTTAATGCGCCACCAGAGAATCCACACGGGAGAGAAACCTTACAAGTGCACAGAATGCCAGGCCGCGTTTAATCACAAAAGCTCTCTAGTTCATCATCAGATGATCCATTCAGATGAAAAACCCTTTCAGTGCGCTACCTGTGGTGCCGCTTTCAGTCAAAAAAGTACTTTCGAGAACCATCAGATTGTCCATACGGGACAAAAACCATTTCACTGCAGCATCTGCCGCAGCTCGTTTGGTAAGAAGAGGACACTTGTGCTTCACTTACTGGTCCACACAGGTGAAAAACCTTACCAGTGTGAAATCTGCAACACTACCTTTAGCCGCAGAACATACCTGGTGCAGCATCAGAGGGTGCACAATGGTGAGAAGCCATATCATTGCACGATTTGCAGTGCCCTGTTTACCAAAAGATATTCTCTAGTGAGACACCAGAGGCTACACTGTGGTGATGACGGGACAGTATGTCCTTACCCACCCAAAAAAGTTCTTCAGTGAATAAAAATCCCTCTAAGGGCGAGGCAGAGAGTTCTCCGGTATCACAGCAAGAGTCTACGCATTCTCCAGATGCCACATCAGAGTGGCTAGAAAACTCATCAGGGCACCATGGAAGTTCTACAGAGGCCCAAGGAAACTCGCCCAGGCCACCCAGAACCTCACCATCACCACAAGATGGTTCCCCTGAAACACATCAAAACAGTTGATCTGATACCTAAACTAAAGAGGGTCAGATTTGACTGCTTCGAGTTTATTAAAGAACTGGAAATTACTTACCCAATTGAATTTTTTTTTTTCAAACCTTCATCGGGGGAAGGGTTGGACTTTTCAAAGAGTCTGTGGGTTAGTAAGTTAAAAACATGTGCTACTCAAGATGGAAAACAAACCCCATTGGCACTATATTCATTTGGACTACAGAGAAATGAGAGTGTTAAATTAAAGAACGAGAAATTACTGATATCTCACTGGACTTTTTTTTTTCTTTAAACCCTCTGCTGGAAGGGTTGGACTTTGTAAAGAATCTGTGATCATATTTTAACTCTTTTTAAATGAATGGCTTTACTTGTTACTTGCTAATACCAATTATCCATTTTAAACATGTTGAAGTTGTTGTTTTTTTATTCTTTATGATAAAATATTCCAGGATAATGTGCTGGGTGGAGCCTATGAGTTAATACCATGTGCTGCGAAAAATGGAAAACATATTCCATGTGCACAATATGGGTTTGGGGCTACAGAAAGGTTAAATTGAATTATGTTTCCTTATTTTGGTGAGGAATTCTTGGGAAAGATAGTTCATTTATTAAATTATTATTGCAGTTAAAATGTTAAAAATTGAGTCTAATGCATGAAACAGACCTGTTTACCCTCAAACTCTTAAAGTCGTACAATATCATCACAAAATCGTTGAATACATTATGTTAATGGTAAAAAATAAACATACAGTATCTATAACGTATACACCTCAAAATAGTACATTGTACGCCAAAATCGTAAGAGTAAGCAGGTCTGATGAAATCTTTTCTTTAAAATATGTAGTTTTTATGGCTCCCCCTAAAATTTACCAGTTGTAGTTAGCCTTAAAAAAAACTAATGGTATAACAGATTCTGATTATGTGGAAGAAATAGAAAATTTGACAAGATTTGTTTTACCCCCATACACATTTATTTTTTTTTCTTTATTTTTTTTTATTATGTCACTGACCTGTCTGATGACATCATACCTAGAATTCCTGTGACCATATATTTTGACTGTCAATGGATTTATTCTAATTTAATTAAACTAATTACTTTTGTAAGTTCTTTTACTGAATTGTGAAGGTATTTGAACTTTTTGTTCTTTTGAACATTAGCTCATGTAACATTTCTAGGGGATGATATTCAAGAATGTCCTTGTATGTTCATTTATTTAAACATAATTGTTCTGATGTTGATGTTGTTCTTTTTTTTTTTTTTTCAAACATTTTTAATTGTGTGCTTTTTAAACAAGCAACTTATAAATTTGTTGTGTTGCCATGCATTTACTCAATCAATTGTTATCCTGAGATGATGAGTCACAAGTCATATTGCTGTGTGTTTGTGTCATGTAATAAACTGTATAAGATTTTAACGAGGTCAGATTGTTCTGCTTCGTCTTGTCATGTTCAATAGCAGTTAGTGTGTTCTTGCCAGAAACGCAAGAGTTGGGGTTAATACTGGCAAGACATGGAAGATCTTTGTGAATACAGATAGCCTTTCATGTTGCCAAATCCCTTGACCCAATGCACTTTTTTTTTTTTAAAGTTCCAGCAAATTATATCGGGCCAATTGTTAGAAGCAAAAACTGGAGTACAAAATATTAGCTATGGATACCTCTTCCGATTTATTTCAAAACACAAAAGCTGTTAATATTGTGAATCAGGCACAGAGGGGTTATTGTGAGGTGTTGGTAACACATCAGCAAAGTTTTTTTTTTAAAACTGTGACAGAGTTAAAAGGCATGACTGTCTAATTAAATACGCTAACACTGCTACCAACCTACCGGATACGGAGGTCTCAAGATTGTTGTTTTGTTTGGGTTTTTTTTCTTTCATGTTGACGGTGATGTAGATTCTCATGTATCATTTCGCATTCCACTAACAAGACATTTTTTTTTAAAAACAGCAACAAAGATTTATTGAACCCAAAGCTTGTTTATTGATTGCCTTTCTAATGAGTTTCAGTTGGCAGCTGTGAACATTTGTTTAACTAATTGAATTTGTTCAAAAGCATGCCACTTCTAGAGGTGTGTTTCTGATGTTATGAAGTATGTCTTGAGACACACATTTATTCAGTTTGGAACTATGACAACATTTTTACATTTAAAAACCGAAAAGCTGAACTTTATTTTGGAGCAATTTATATCACATTTTGACCTAGCAGAACTTAAAATGTAAAGAGTAAGTTCTTTGACAAATGTTCACATCTGAAATGGTTAAGAGGACACAAGATCAATTGTTATTTCCCATTGGTGCTTGAGCCACTGAGGAGAACCACTTTCTTTATCTTCTCCCAGTCGCCTGTGCCAGGCTTCAGATCCTCAACTATTCTCATCTGTTCCAGAAGAACCCGGAAGGTTGCTTCGCTGGTGTTCTTGTAGACCCAACGAAACAGAAGATCAGCGCACCAATCCATATCTTGTCCTTTGCTGTTCGACATGGCTATTTCTATTTCACCTTTTTTGAATCCAAGTCCCGTCATAAGGGTGAACTTGGTCATCATTTTGAGATCATCCAGACATAACGCAATTCGAGCCACATCCTTTTCCTTCATCTGCCTGTTTTTAACATCATCATCGAGGTTGTAAATCCAAGAATCTAAAACACCAAAAAGAGAAGGATAAAGAAAATGGTCTGACTTTCAAGGATTTGTGATAGTGATAGTTTCTATTTGATAAGGGTTTGATGGTAATTATCATTTCATCATGTTGATGATTAGCAATAGTCAAACAAATTTACAGTCTTTGTATGTTTTGAAATAAATGAAATAAAGATTCGACCCATAACACAAACATTCACTGTGATAGCAGAGACATCACTGTGTTAGTTGAGACATCACTGTGTTAGTAGAGACATCACTGTGTTAGTAGAGACATCACTGTGTTTCTTCCCGCAGATAAACAAATGAGGCACATGGCTTGTAAGTCGCATGAAACCTGAATATTTTTATATACTGGCGACTGTTTAAATTCTTATTAAGATAACACAAGAAAAACAGGGCTGAAGCTCGACATTTCTTATAGTCAATAACTGGTCTAGTCTAGTACTACATGATATGCGTAAATTAACATCCTCATTTACACAGTGAATGGACTATTCGTAGATGTATCTTATTTGGTTTGTTTAGGATATAACATTTGAATAATAATCTACTTTTTGTGCTGAATAATATCAGTTTAACTTATATCATCGTCAGTTACATATTAATATTAGCCATAGTTTATTTAGAGTTTATAAGACCAGGTTATCATAAGCGCTATGGCCAGGTTAAATACAACTTTGAAAACTTTCACTGACCAAAGGTACAGATTTACTATAAATTATATGGTCATAATAATAATTTTTGATTCTAAAAAAAAAACTTATAATTTTCATCTAATACCGGTACTAATAATCTTTTATTAACTTTTACTACAGTTACACTGACTTACATATGTAGAAAAATATATTTAGTAATACCTCGCTACTTTGAGGATTTGCTCCTAGGATATGTTGAACAGATTTTTTGCTATTTCAAGTGATTTTTTTCAGTTATACAGTATGCGTTGGTTTATATACGGTATTTATTATTTAAATTATTTTTTTGCGGTAAAATACGCAATTAGCTAGCCTAAAAAATTGAAAATATCTTAAATGTAATTTTAATTAAAACTGTGGGGAAGGTTAAAAGGAGTGTGTGAGGGGTTTTCTTAGCTTTAAAATATATATTGATCTCAATTCGCTTTATTTGGCTGGGGGGCGGGGGGGTGTCTCAGAACGTAACCATTGCAATATTCAAGGTATTGTTGTATATGCTTAGTCTGGGAAGAGGGGTGGGGGGGGATATAATGATGTAGCACTCTGGAAAGAAATAAAAGCTTCACATTTATGCGCTTTAATTGAGATTGAGATTGGGAAGGGGGGTGGGGGGATATTTTGAAAACATAAACAAATCCAACTTTGCATAACTTGTTTTGGGTTTGTTTCTAAAGTAGGCTAATTGTTTCTAAAATAATTGTTTCTAAAGTTATTGTTTCTAAAGTAATTGTTTCTAAAGTAATTGTTTCTAAAGTTATTGTTTCTAAAGTAATTGTTTCTAAAGTTATGTTTCTAAAGTAGGCTAATTGTTTCTAAAGTAATTGTTTCTAAAGTAGGCTAATTATTTCTAAAGTAATTGTTTCTAAAGTAGGCTAATTGTTTATAAAGTAATTGTTTCTAAAGTAGGCTAATTGTTTCTAAAGTAGGCTAATTGTTTCTAAAGTAGGCTAATTGTTTCTTAAGTAATTGTTTCTAAAGTAATTGTTTCTAAAGTAATTGTTTCTAAAGTTATTTTTTCTAAAATTATTGTTTCTAAAGTAGGCTAATTGTTTCTAAAGTAATTGTTTCTAAAGTTATTGTTTCTAAAGTAGGCTAATTGTTTCTAAAGAAATTGTTTCTAAAGTAGGCTAATTGTTTCTTAAGTAATTCTTTCTAAAGTAGGCTAATTGTTTCTAAAGTAATTGTTTCTAAAGTAGGCTAATTGTTTCTTAAGTAATTGTTTCTAAAGTAATTGTTTCTAAAGTAATTGTTTCTAAAGTTATTGTTTCTAAAATTATTGTTTCTAAAGTAGGCTAATTGTTTCTAAAGTAATTGTTTCTAAAGTAATTGTTTCTAAAGTAATTGTTTCTAAAGTTATTGTTTCTAAAGTTATTGTTTATATAGTAATTGTTTCTAAAGTAATTGTTTCTAAAGTAATTGTTTCTAAAGTTATTGTTTCTAAAGTAATTGTTTCTAAAGTTATTGTTTCTAAAGTAAGCTGATTGTTTCTAAAGTAATTGTTTCTAAAGCCATCCTCCCCCAAACACACATTGTAGCAATTTTATGTCGTGTATCATGTAGGACTCATTCTCAACCCCCCCTGTCGGTGGCTGGACAGGGGTAGATAGTACTGGGGTGGGTGAGGTCAAGCTTTTCACCAATTTTTGTCTTTAATGTGTAATTTTCTGGAATTGCTAATTTTTATGTGAAACGCAGTGAGCCTAGCCCTAGGCTGTGGTACTGCGCTATATAAAACCACCATAATGTTAATAACAATATATATATATATATTGCTTTTATATGATTACTCACAAGGTTTTTCTGTACTCTCAATGCTTGTCTCAACCTGAGTTTCTCTGTTCACTCCTCTGTTGAGTTGAGAATCAGTTAATATCATTTAGAAATCACTATCGAATATAAATAAAACATTGGGATTAACAAAGTTACTCACCTAAAGAAATATCTGCCCCTGTAGGAAATTTTGCTAACATATCCTTATTTTATAGCTCATCTGAAAATACTGTTTAACATATCCTTTCCTCCAGTTATTGCTATTGGTACCTCATACATTGGTTACTTGTAATTTTAACTTTTTTAAAAATTGTTTTGATTGAAGAAGAAAAAATTAAACCATTTATTTAGAAATACACATTTATTCTGCTGTCCCAGATTTAATTTTCGTTCAATTTTTTTAAAATTAGATTTTATTTAAATGTCGACTGTTTGAAAAACACTGACTACAGCTACAGAAAAAGAACATGAAAAGGAAAATGTTTGTTCGTCAGGGAATAAAGGAGAAATATGTGTCCAATAAATTTTGGAATTTCGCCTTTCCTTCATTCATTTACAGTGTATAATCAATAAAAATGCCTGTTTTGGTATTTAAAAAGGTCACCTGTTGTAAGCTTGTCCTTTGGTTTGAAGAACAAGTTCCTTGCAGGATAGAATCCGATTTCCGAACTCCTCTTCATACTCAAGGACTTCGGGAGGCAATTGGTCATAAGTTAAGATAACATTATACGACTGGTTCTTCATTTCTTCAAGCAGCAGACTGGTGATGTTTTCTAGGAACTGGAAAGAAATAGGATTGCATTACAGAAATAGTATTAGTATAGTATAATCAGTGCTTCAAGTTATTACATCAAAAGGAGCAAGAACCTAATGGCTGGATGAAGATCAAATTTTTTCAAAGTAAACATCCTTCTGTCATAATTAAAGGGGTCAGTTTAATTTTGTACCCTAATAATGACAATATGCTACTGGTGTGAAGTGTCCATGTGTCACTTACTTGTGAAACTTTCCAATCCTCGCACAGAGTCACAAAACGGTCCTCTAAATCCCCTTCCAGTCGCACCTTGACATCCACACCATCATACTTTTTCTTGGGGGGCATCCTGGTGTAGCACTCTGCAATGAAAATTTCAGCATTTTTAATTTATAGGAAAGTTTGAGGGTACACCCAGATCATAGGTTGACTACTAAAAAATTCACACACAAAATCTATTAAAGTTACAAGTGTCAAATTTTCACTGAAGCTTAATGAATAGTCATTCTACCATAAAAACACATAAAATAATTAAAAAGTGATACATATTAGTTTTCTCACATTGGAAAGAAAAATGAAAAATGTGATTCAGGAAATTAACATGTAAGACTAAAAAATTAGTTGGAATGTTTTAAGCTCAAATTTATTTTACTTTTTTAACCATACAGAAATATGGATTAGCTATGATGACAGCTAAGAAAAATGTAATTTTTTGAATACGTTTTGTATCACAGCTTGCCGAAGTGTCTTAATTTTTTCATTTTAAAATCAAACTTTGATGGATTGTTAAATTTGTAATTAATTAAATTATTAATATTACTATATTGTAATATCCTTAGTTTCTGACATTGACATTTATAAAATATAGTTTCATTCAAAATTTAAAAAAAATTGGTTGATATTTAAAAAAGTTATTTTTTATGTGAACTAAACTTAGAAATTTTGGGAATCAAAATGCAATAATTTTGTTCAAAACTTTAATAAATTCTCTAATTTTAATTAATTTAATGATCCCCCTGAAAGATAAGGATGTCAATTAGCTTCAACTTTTGCCTCTTCTAACTCTAATTTAAGCCTTCTTCTGGTTTTTCTAACTTCTAAGGACTAGGTCATTAGTTTTTGTGCCTTTGATATCCGCTTAGCACCCATCCATCGTAATGAAATAATTAAAGGCAGTGTCTACACGTCCGGCGCGCCGGACGTATATCTCCAGCACTATTTTGCCCGGCGACCAAGTCACATGACCGCCGTAACAAAGTGGCGAGAGATATCTTGACTGTGAATGATTCAAAACTATTATTAATTTTAAAATCTATTTCTCTACCAAGTAATGTACTGAGTATCTTGAATGTAAATAATAGAAAAAAACTTAAGTGAAAGTGGCTTCTAAACATTTTTGTTTAGTTTGTTATTTGAGTTTGTGTACCAGTAATCCTTAAAATAAATTAGGGGCCAGTGTGGAGTAGGCAACCAATAAAAGTAAAAGATTTCATTTTAAATTCTTTAAATTGCTAAAAAATATTTAAAAACTTCACATGAAACTACTGTTGCTGATGAACATGATAATATAAATATAGTATAAAATATTTTTAATTAAAATGGGAAGAAAAAAAAAAAACATCCTATCCCCAGTATTGATCCTCAAACAATAATATCGTCAAGCGACCACTCTACCACAAGAACACACAAGATCTACCAAACTGCACTTCGTTCGGAATTATAAAAACTACTAGCCGTCCGGCGGTCACGTGACATGCCGCCAGACGTATAATTCGATAATTAAAAGTAAATTGAGCAAAAGGAAACCTGTAAAAATCTTAGAGGAGCCTCTAATACGTTTGATCTATCATTATAAAGAAGGGTTGCTAATGCAACACCTATGTTGACAGCTCTAAAAGTCTTGTCTTAATCTTTAAACATTACATTTGTTCTTAGGGCACATTTTTAATATAATACTATTCATAGATTTCTTTCGCATTTTGGGTGTAACCATCTAGACATTTACTAAAAATACTTGGATGGGAAAGGTCTAAAAAATTGGGCCTAGTTAAATTCATTTCTACTGATTCACTGTTGGGCCTACTGTGTGTTATTTACGCCACAGTTATTATCAAAATTAATTACATAATTATTAATCTTCACTTTAAAATAAATGAGAATCATTTACTTTATATGTCTTTCAATTTAATTTCTGACCTGTTGTGGGCTGGCGTGGTATTTGGTTTTGCAAGAACAGTACCCTTGGAAGTTGGGTATTTTAATTTTAGTCAAGTCAAAAATTCAATTTACTTACTTTGCAGACTTTGCTTTTCAATTTGCTTTACAGATTTTACACTTTACTTTGATATTGATTATTATATTTCCATTTTAAATATCCTAAAATGGTCCAATATTAGACTTATTATATCTATTTTCAGGAAATTTTCATTTCTTTGAATACTTGTTATCACTAAAAGCATTGTATAAACAAATTATAAACAAATATTAAGACTATTTTAATATTCACACAAATGTTTTGTTTATTTCATGGGAAGCCGCCATATTCAAAAGGACTGATCATTGTATTAAACAATTATTGGGGAGGTCATCGTTGTTTTAAAATAACAAATTCAGGAAAAAAATGTTTTTTTAATTGTTTGTTTGTTGTTTTTTTTGTTGTTTTTTTGTGTGGTTGTTTTTATTATTATTATTTTTTTTTTTTTTTTTTTTGGGGGGGGGGGGGGGGTTTAATTTTTTTTTTTTTTTTTTTTTTGTTTTTTTTTTTTTTTTATTTTTTTTTTTTTTTTTTTTTGTGGGGAGGGTGTGTGTTAAATTCTGATACACCCCGCTTCATACAGAAAATTCATACCCCAAGAACTATTGAACCAAAAATCAAACATAATCACACGTAATTGTGCAGAATTGAATACACCTTAATTTGATATAGAATCTAAATGAGAATCATTTACTTTATATGTCTTTCAATTTAATTTCTTACCTGTTGTGGGTTGGCGTGGTATTTGGTTTTGCAAGAACAGTACCCTTGGAAGTTGGGTATTTTAATTTTAGTCAAGTCAAAAATTCAATTTACTTACTTTGCTTTTCAATTTGCTTTACACTTTACTTTGATATTGATTATTATATTTCCATTTTAAATATCCTAAATCGAAAATTAGCTATTTTTTTCATTCTTCTCGGTCCACCTCTCCCCTTGAGCAATAGGTAACCAAGCTTGCGGGGAGGGAGAGAGATTTTGAAAATATAAATAAATCTAACTCTGCATGAGTAGTTATTTTGGGCTTGTTTCTAAAGATTTCGGGGGTTTTTTCTATACTTAAAAAGCATTCCTCTCATACAATAACTTGTAATAATTTTATGTTGTGTATCCTAAATAGATTTTTACGGGGAAAACAATTTACACTATTACAAAAATGTCCCAACGCCAGTGAAAGAAAGAAAAAAAAAAGACATTCAACTATCAAGACTCAAGATAATAAAATAAAATAACCTAAATGCTGAAACCTTTTCTCATTTCAGACTTACGAGAACTGATTATTGAAGAAAAGTTAAGCTACCACAACACAAATCACTCCTTGGGTGCCAAAGCAGCCAGAGAAATATCCCACGTTAATATCACTCGCAGTCACATTCATTGTAAAAGATTAATGTTTATGCTAAGTAAAGAATAAATTACTTTTGTTTTAATATTGCCCTCAAACGGGTAAAATAATAAAGTCAAATAACAAACACAAAAGCCTACCTTGAAGATGTATTATAGTGTCGTGTATAGGCCCTTATATTATTGAATGCACACTGATAACTGTGATCTGTCTTTTATAATGATCCAACGTCTCCTAAACTCTCTAGGCATGAAAACAACAACCTGGTATTCCCTATTTGATTCACAACTTCACAACCAGTTTAAAATAACTTGTGAAGCGCGATGAAATGTTATTCATCTAACGTCTCTAGAACGAACGGTTCTCAAATTATTTTCTCCGGGTCCTAAATCTTCAGCAAGGTCTATTGATTGTAGGCATGGGCCCCCGCAGGTAGGGGCAAGGGGGGGGCACTTGCCCCCCCCCCCCTGGATTGATTGGATAAAAAAAATTTAGACAAAAATAGACAAAACATTTTTAAAATAAAGAGAAAATAAAGAGAAAGTAACTAAGCTGATGTCCTGTCCGTTCGTCAGAGGCGTAGGGGGGCAGGGGGGACAGATGTCCCCGGGCGCAAGCTAGTTATGGGTGCCAAAATGTGTACTTTGATATTATATTGGTAAAAATAATGGGTTTGAGAGTTGAAAAAAAGATAAGGGGGTGCTTTAAAATGGATCTTGTCCCCGGGCGCCAAACACCCTCGCTACGCCTCTGCCGTTCGTTCACCATGCAAATACGCTACAGTAAATTAAAACTATATTAAAACATTACTAAAATTTTTTTGCCCCTCCCCCTCGAAAGTTAATCGATTTTTTTGCCCTCCCCCCCCCTAGAAAGTTTTCTGCGGGCGCGCATGGTTGTAGGCTATCTAAATAGACTTTTATTTAAGGATTCCAGGCATGTGTGAGGATGACGTATTATAGGTAGAGACAGGGCCAGCCCAAGGTACCGTCAACTCGGGGCATTTTCATGGGGCGCCATGCTCTCAGGCCACCCTCGACGATCTTCCAAAATAGGAAAAAGCATAGCATGTTGGCCCCAATAAAAGAAACATAGGAATGGGCAAAAAAAAAGATCTGCTGATCTAAAGGGTGTGGGGGAAAATGTCATCCATAGACCAATTATTCATACTCATACTGTCATACTGCGGTACTTTTTGTCTCCTTTGTATGAAGGGGCAGCATTTTCTGCCAGCTGCTGAATTATTTTCTTGGAAAAATGTGTGTGTTTGGTGATGGAGCGGCAAATTATTGGCCCTCCGCGGATGACACCAACCCTAATTAAGCCATTGTTTCTTGCGCCTCCATCATTTTAAAGTCTAACATTGAATATCTAAATCTAAACTAGAATTAGTTGAAGAATGGACAAATTTAAAAAAAGTTCGCGAGAAAAAAAACTACAAAGAGGTGAATGCTAGCACGGTTCAGTTGAAAAGTTGAAATAAATAATAATGTGTACCGGCTTTTATCAAGAAAACAATTTTATTTTTACTACCCCGGTACTCCGCATTGGAACAGATATCTGGATCCGATTCAAGAAAAATTTCCGTCTACTCAAGATGTCAAAAGTGTTAGAACCCTTACAAAACACATAAAATTATATCGGGAATACCCTTCCTCGTTCTCTTTTAACCGCCCACTTGTCTTTCATTCATTGAGTGTTGTAGCCTTACTAATTGCTTCTGTTTCGGTCTGGTTTCGGTATGGTATTCAGCGACTTACCGATACAGTGCCCCTTGTCCAATCACCCTTACACGCTCCCTCAGTCAGAGTCGTTCTTAGGCATAGACAAACTAGGCGACCTTTTATTATTATTATTATTTTCTTTTTTTGGCTACACCTTGCAAGTCCATATATTTCAGAAGTAAACATTTTCTATTGTGGCGGAATTTCAAAATGGTTAATGGTTACACGCGAGCAAAGAGGAATCAGTGACGAAGGCAGAATGGAGGTGTTGAGGAAAGGAGTTAGTAGGATATAAATCTCTCGTCTGAGGTCTATTTATTAACTTCACGATTGTTTTCTCCTCAGCTCGGGGAGAGCTCCGCCCCCGGACCCCCCTTCCAGGGCTCCATACCTACGCTCCATGCGTAGGGACCCCCAAAATCCTAAGAACGGCTCTGCCTTAGTGGAACGAAAACCCTTTTATCTTCTTCTGCGATTTCCTCCTTCACCTTCCACTCTAATTTCCCTCTCCCATCCCTTCATTTCGATTACCTCTAGCCTCTACCCCATCCTTTCGCCTCAAGCACCTCCCTCTACGCTCACTAACGCTAACCGTTTAGTCCTGTCTCTCAACATCGAAACCTTACCTCTCACCCTTTACTCCTTACCCTCGCGTCCTTCCTCTCCCATTTTTTATCATACCGACAGTGACGTAGCTAGGGTTAGTGCCGATGGGGGGCTGGAGCAAAGATTTTTTTTACCCCGTTGACACGAAAACAAACAACTCTGCAGTTGGCCGAAAATGCCGCCCCTCATTAAAGAGAAAAAAAAGTGATTCCCTCCCTCCACACCCCTTTCCTACGCCACTGCATACCGATACTCTCTTCACCCCCAACACCCCACCCCCTACGCCCCCCCCCCTTCTACCCATACCGGCTCGACCTTACATCCAGACACTGAATTTACTGGAGAAAGCTTTACTCCGCCCCTCATTAAAGAGAAAAAAAAGTGATTCCCTCCCTCCACACCCCTTTCCTACGCCACTGCATACCGATACTCTCTTCACCCCAACACCCCCCCCCCTACGCCCCCCCCCCCTTCTACCCATACCGGCTCGACCTTACATCCAGACACTGAATTTACTGGAGAAAGCTTTACTCTTTCAATTCCATGTTAACTTGAACCTTAACCTCGCAGATGCGATCTCTCTTGTCCTCTACCCTCACTACATCGGCGTAGCTGGGGTTTATACTGCCACCAGGGACGATCTAAGCTCTACCCCATTCCACGAAAAAAACTATGTGCCGAAAATCGCACCCTCAATATAAAGAAAAAGATGACACCCGGGACGGAACACCCCTGCCTTCCTACGCCCCTGCTCTCGCCGCAAACTTTTCCTTTACACGCTCTACCCTCTCCCACGTAACCCCATCCTTCCCAACACCCTCAATCTCACCCTCTCATTTCCCTATACTCAAATTCGCTGATGCCTCCCGCTTTGCCCTTCCCCACGCTCTTCCCATCACCAGTCTCCACCTTTACTCTTACCTCTCCCTGCATCTTCCAGCCCCCGAAATTCACTTGCAACTTCCCACCCCAACACACACGACTTCATCTTCAATCCCCACAAAACACATCTACACCTTCCCACCCCAACACACACGACTTCATCTTCAATCCCCACAAAACGCATCTACACCTTCCCGCCCCGAATACTTCTTCATTCCCAAAACACACACAGAAACATCTTTTGTCGCTAAAACACACACCTAAAATCTTCCTTCCCCCAACTCACATCTGTATCTTTCTTCCTCAACTGACACACACACCTACATCTTCCTTCCCCCAACACACACCTGTATCTTCCATCCCCCAACACACACACCTGTATCTTCCATCACCTACACACACCTGTATCTTCCTTCCCCCAACTCACATCTGTATCTTTCTTCCTCAACTGACACACACACCTACATCTTCTATCACCCAACACACACATGTATCTTCCATCCCCCAACACACACCTACATCTTTCTTCCAGAGGCGTAGCGAGGGTGTTTGGCGCCCGGGGACAAGATCCATTTTTAAAGCGCCCCCTTTTCTTTTTTTCAACTCTCAAACCCATTATTTTTACCAATAATATAATATCAAAGCACATTTTGATGCCCCTAACTAGCTTGCACCCGGGGAATCTGTCCCCCCTGCCCCACCCTCGCTACGCCTCTGCTTCCTTCCCCCAACCCCAGTGC